GCACACACATGTATGCACACACACACACACACACACACACACACACACAGTTAGGAGGTGAGATCCTCCTGTGACAGCTCATGTGCTATTTGTCTTTCTGAGCCCGAGGGACTCACATAACGAGACCCTTTCCAGTTCCGTTTGTCCACAGATTTCACGGTTTCATCCTTCCTTACACACTGCCCTGACCCTTCCCTTGACTGGAGACATCCTGGCTGCCCTCCCCACTGCTCTCGAAAGGAGCAGTTCTCAAGTGGCTGCTTTCTTCATCCCCAGACCATTGAAGAGCTGGAGAAGGAGCTGCTGAACGGGCAGAAGCTCCAGGGCCCGCAGACCTCGGCCGAGGTGTACCGCATCCTCCACCAGAAGGGGCTGCTTGACAAGTGAGTCCCCGGTGGTCTGGGTCACCTCAGTCATGGCAGGCCGAGGAGGGAGGCTGGCCGGCCGCTGTGCTTGGGGCCTGGCCAGATCTGCTTAGGGTTTTTAAGTGATGGGGACATCTCTGGTGGGAAATCTCAGTGGACACAAAACCGATTTCAGTTCCGTTGAGAAGAGCTTAATTCTAGAGATAAAGCATGGTATAGAGTATGAAATTTTAGTCAAGCATGCCCAACCCTTTCACACTGGGACATGACAGTGTCATCTCCAAGGCTCACATTCGAGAACCCTGCAGCTGAGTAATGGAAATTTTTGCACAATGAAAGTCTTAATATTTAAGTCAATTTATAATTTCTTGTGTTGGGCTACATTCATAGCCGTGCCAAGGTGCTGTATGCACACTTGCTGGGTTCTTTTGTTTTACAGGGAGTTACCCTTGGAGTTGGTTTGCTTTTGAAACAGTGTCTTACAACATAGCCCTGGTTGGCCTGGCGCTTCCAGAGACTTGCCTGCTTCTCCCTCCCAGCTGCTAGGATTTAAAGTGTGTGCCACCACACCTGGCTACTTTTGGTTTTTATGAAGGGATAATAAGCATGAGCTGGGTGTGGTGGTTCGTGCCTGAAATTCCGGCATTGGGGAAACTGAGGCAGGAGGATTGCTTCAAGTTTGGGGTTAGCTTAGGTACAAAGAGAGTTCAAAGTCAGCCTTAGCTACACACCATGTATTTTAAAAAGTGCAGGGGGAGAGAGATGGGCATGGTGGGGCTTGCCTGTCACCTTAGCACTGAGAAGACTGAGGCAGGAGGATCAGGAATCCACTGCCAGCATCTGAAGCTAGCCTAAGAGGAGAGAAAAGTCTCTTTGGCTTGTAGTTTCCTGGCCCTGAGCTTTGGGCTTGTGACATCACAGTCCATCACTGCAGGCACGGCACATCCCCACAGCACATGGCAGAGGAGGTATTTGTGGTGGCCAGAGTCAGGAAGGTTCCCAGTGTCCCACTCAAGAAACCCGACCCCCAGAGGCCTCGCCTCTTCCCCTCAGCTCCTATGTCCTCGGGGTTCCAGCACCTCCCAACAGTGCTAAAAAGTAAGGATTGATCACTCAAAGCACGGAGGGGTGCACTCAAGCCCCAGACCACAGTGGCATGTACCCTTGACCACCCCCTAGTTCTAGGTAGGGCAGACCTAGCTGCCAGAGACTGGCGAGGGCAGATAGCTGCCTGGCTCGCCAGCAGTACCTGCTCTAGCACATGCTCTCCCCTCCACTCAGGAAGTCGAAGGCAGGTGGCATGAGGCCCTTCTGCACACAAAAAGTGAAGCAGGCATGGCAGCTCACACGCTCAGTGCCAGCATTCAGGGAGGCAGAAGCAGGAATCTCTGAGTTGGAGGCCATCTTGCTGTACACAGTGACTTTCAGACTGGCCACGGCTAGTGAAGCCCTGCCTTAACAGATGAGCAAACTGAAGAGTGGGAGGTTTCCGCAGGAAGTCTAACAGCCGGGCGATGGCTTCGCTGGGTGTGGGATCCTAGGGCAGCCTGAACCTTTCTCAGGGTGAGCTTTTAAGCACAAAAACCAGATCCTAGGGTGAGACACCTCAGTTATCAAGAACAGTTAGCCAGAGAGGCAGCTGCAGAAGCCCGAAAGCGGTTAGTACATCTGGGGACTTTCCTAGAACTATTTACCTTGAAGGACTGGGCTGTTCTTGTTTCGCAGGTTATGCTGCCTGCTTTTTGGGTTGTAAGGCCTGAATGGTACTTCAATCATGGCATCAGTCGTGCTAAGGTCTGGGGGCCTGTTACAACACACACACGCAAACCCACTCTAAGGTGTTGCTCCTGCTTCCCCCACCTCCAGGTTTCCTCTCTTCACAGCGGTGTATCAGATCTGCTATGAGGGCAAGCCTGTCGCACAGATGCTGTCCTGCCTGCAGAGCCACCCGGAGCACCTCTGAAGGCAGTCGAGCAGCCACCAGGGGCAGCTCCGCCTTGCCCGTTGCAGGACTAGCCAGAAAACCAGGGCGTGGCAGCGAGACCCCTGCTGGACTGCGCTCCAATCCTGAACACAGATCGTTACAGCTTGATTTCTGTGCCGGGAGAACCGCAGCACATCACCGGCTAAGATGTGCTGGATAACAGCTAAACACGCACATGTGAGCGTGTGTGTGTGTGTGTGTGTGTGTGTGTGTGTGTGTGTGTGTGTGTGTGGTGTGTGTGTGTGTGTGTCTGTCTGTGTGAACCTTTCTCATTCTGTGGGTGTTTCTCTGAACCCCAATCAGGTGTCTATTTTATGACCACATTTTAAATTTCCCCTCCAGGGCAGCTTTCGAGATAAGAACTCACTCAGCTAAATTTTATGGGTGTGACTTGTTTATATGCGAGTAAAGGGAAAAATTAATTTTTCCTTCCGAAATAGTTATCCAGCATTAAAAAGGTATGTGAAAGGTGTGTGTCTGAAGACCACCACAGTTCACTTTTAAATAGCATCTCAGAGCCAGCAGGATGAGCTCTGTGGAATGTGGGTGAATCACTAAATAATCAGGTGTTTTAATTAGATAATACACTTACACATTTCTTCTTGTTAAAGATACACATTTCTGGCCTCTGGCCTCTTATTGGCTGCTGGAATGGGCTTTTCCACAGACCCAGCGATGGTAGAGGAAGGGGACATCCCTGCAGTGGCTGGCATTCCTTCTGGGGACACGTTGTCTTGCCCTTTGCTGGGTGGACTTTTTTGCAGCTGTGTCTCTTCAAGCTCATGCAACCTGGAAAGGGGCCAGGTGACTCCTCATGTCAGAAGCCACAGCTATACCTGCTCACCCAGGGACATGGATGGGGCCTGCTAGGATGTCCCCAGGCCTCTCTGACCGCTAGCTCTTTGTAGGAATGCAGCTTTTCCTGAGGCCACACGAGGGCTTCCTGCCTTGGAGATGTGTGTGGCAGAGTCTCCAGTCCAAGTAGTGTCTCCAATCCAGCAGGGTCATTGAACTCTTAAGAAAGCCAGCTCCTAAGCCTCAAGAAAGGCCCCTGTGTTTCAATATGCCTTCCATCCATTTCTGATGCTCACTACAACCTGAGAGGCACTGCATTAGCAAAGCCTTCATTGAACAATATTTATAGGAGATAAGTATCCTGTGGCCTTCTGGCTATGCCAGGTGGACCCCGGCATGGCCAGGTGAGTTTGGGAAAGGTTGCCTCTTCATATTTTCCTAGAAGGGGTAGCCTGTATGCTTGGAACCTCACTAGAACCTGTTAATAAGTCCCAAATACATTAGACTATGAGAGATTTTTTTTTTTTTTTACTAGAATATTAGCCAAAATTTCTAAAGAACCCTGCTTTAGAGTGAGGAGGTGACCCTCACTCTCGGTAGGCAATCAGGATGCCCAACTACCTGTGAGAGTCTGTCTATGTAGCCTGGGCTGGCCTTGAACTTGTCACCTTCTTGCCTCTTGTCTCCTGAGTAGCTAGGACTGCCACACCCAACTGGTATTTTGCCGTTTCTGAACTTTCTGAATCCTTGAAGCTCTCAGGTGACGGGGTTAAGAACAGACAAGTAGATGCCAACGTCACTGAAACGCACACTATATGGAGTAAGTGCTTTGGAACCTAGAATTAGAATGGAAATGGTATCTTTATTTAAAAATTAGGCATCCCATGAGTGTGGAAAGAACGTATGAATGTGATACAATCATTGCTTTTAGCTTTCGAGATTTCCCACTTCTCCCTCACCATGGGTTCGGTATGCACCGCCCCACTCTACACCCCTAATATCATTGAAAATGATTGTAAAATAAATTTTTATGGGATTTTTTTTAACTATCTAAAAAGACTTTAGGACATTGTAAAGTCTCACGCCTAAAAGCCTACAGAAGCGCACAGCAGGAAAATTTCAGTTTTGTAATGATGTCTGTCAATTGATTTTTTTTTCTTGTCTCCTGATAAGTCTTTTTTAAAGCTTGTACATATGTAACAAAGAGTTACTTTTTGAGATATCCAAAGGGCTGTAAGCTAATGTGTGTCTACAAAGTAGGACAATGAGGAGCTGTTAACATCTTGGGTTCTGCATCCTCATTTACGTTCACCCTCTCTCGGGACTTGTAGTTCCGGGTCCTTCGTTCCTTCCCCCATGAATGCCCCTACTGGCTGATGTCCCAGGAGTCAGCTGATGTGCTTATCATAACCCACACTTGATGGAAACAGTAAGGCATCACTCTGTGAGTTACCCATTGTTGTGGCCACCTGCTAATTGGTTTCTTCTGAGCTGTGGCAACAGAACCAGAGACACCTAGCCTAGAAACTCCATCTGCGAATGTAAAACTAGACTCTTGCCTTGCTGCTCTCTTCCCCACCACAGTTTGGGACAAATCTCTGTCTGGAATCCACCCCTGGGGCTGAGCTGAGTCTGCCTTCTGGTGTCTTAACCACTGGCCTAGGAGGCTGCTGTGGTAAGATAGCAGCGTCCAAACAGTTGTTTCTCTGCCACTTCTGGTTGGCTGGCCTCTTCCATATGTACTGTATCTGTTTACGGACTGTAGGTGGATGTGTAATTTACAGCTCGATTTAATAAACACAACCTCTCAAACCTGTGCCATGGAGCCCATTTTTCTTTCCCTTTCTTGTTTTTAATAAATTACTTTATTATTGTATTTTGTGTGTATGAGTGTTTTGCCTGTGTGTGTGTGTGTGTATACCAGGAGCATGCCCACAGAGGCCAGAGAAGGTGCTGCATCCCCTCTAGCTGGAGTTACCAATGGTTGGGAGCTGTCCTGTGGGTCTAGAAATCAAGCCTTGGCCCTCTGGAAGATCAGCCAGTGCTCTTCGCTGCGGAGCCATCTCTCTGACCTCTCTTTTTGGTTTTATGACACAGTTTCATGTAGCTCAGGCTAGTCTCAAACTTGCTACATAGCTGAAGGTGCTCTCAATTGCTGGTCTCTGGTCTCTACCGCCCACAAGCTAGGATTACAAACTTACACCACCATGTCTGGCTCTCTGTTTTTATTTTCTTCTTCCTCCTCTTCAGTGTGTGTGTGTGTGTGTGTGTGTGTGTGTGTGTGTGTGTGTGTGTGAATGTATCTGTACCCACATGTGTACTTGCACACACGTGACACAATGAATGTGGAGTTCAGAGGCCAACTTGTAGAAGCAGCTCTCCTTCCGTCCTGGGCTGATTGAACTTCAATGCACTTTAATCCATAATCCCCTATTCCCCCCCCCTCCATATATGTATGGATAGATAGAGAGGTAGGTAGATAGATATTAATTTAGTTAATAGTTTTACATTAACGGCAGTATCCTTTTAAAAATCCGAATTTGTTGCATTTCTAAAAATTAAAGACACTTTTTAAGAGAAATACTTCAGCCAAACACGGTGGCTTATGCCTGTAACCCCCACCCTCGGGAGGCTGAGGTCAGCCCTCTCCTTCCGCTGTAGGAGTTTTCGGAATCCAACTTGAGTCTCCCACTGCAACCCTCAGGATTTATTCCTCCCAGGCTTGATCCGGGCCCCACATGTGGGTGTCAGTTCACTGATTCTATACCCAGAGTCAGCCCTTGAGAACAGCACTTTGCAAGGATTATCGAACACACACACACACACCGGCCATTGCCTCACTGGCTTCAAAGGTGAAGTGACCCCTGAACCCTACCGCAGCATAGAAGTGTGACGGTTTATACTGATCCACTCTAGGATCTAGACTCACCTGACAGGGAGACAAACCTATGGAGACATCAGCAGCTGAACACCTGCTGTCCTTACAGCGTAGTTCCCATATCAGGCAGCTCACAACTACCCGTAACTCCAACCCCCTCTTCTGGACTCCAAGAGCACCTGCACCCAAGTGCACATAATCTCCCCCCATACACACACACATACACGTGAATGATTAAATTATAAACTGTTAGGAAACATTTCGGGACATATCTCTGTGAGGGATGTCTAGCCTGGGCTAAGAACGGTGGGGAGACTGACCCTGGGGGAGGGCAGCAGCATTCTATGAGCTGGGGGCTTGGACTGACTAGAGGGGGTCCGCTGAGCCCCAGCATGCACTGCAGCTTCCTGTGGATGAGATGTGACCAGCCACCTGCAGCGGGCCTTCCCTGCCTTGAAGAACTGCATCCGCTTGGACTATAAACCGAGATAAACTTCTCCCCAAAGTTGCTTTTTGTGGAATCAGAAAGGTAAGTAATTCGGGGAGACAGCTGAACGGGGGAGAAAGAAGTGTTGCAAGGGAAGGGAACAAAGCGCAGCAAGGCTCGCAAGGGTCCTGGAGGCAAGGGATGAAGGAGGGACACTGGTGAGTGGGGGGGGACACTGGTGTGAGGGGAACCCTCTCCCTAACTTGGTTGACTTTCATGACAAGGTCGCACCTACCTCAAGCCCCCATCCTTCCCAGAACTACCACATCCCACCTCTCCTCCAGCAGGTGGGTGGGGTCTCTTCAAGTGCCATTTTGTTACTTCTTTTGTTTGCCCATGTCCTGACCTCGCAGAGGAGTGGATCTCTCTGAACAGAGCTCTGCCCACCATTCATGGAGTCATTTGCATCTACCCAGAGGTGACGTCCAAAGGCATGCCACTCCAGCCCGGAAAGAGGCATGATGACAGTGAAACGGGTTTTTGTTTTGACCTTTTCTGTGGCTGTTCTTTTGAGACTGGGTTTCTCTGTGTAGCCTTGGCTGTCCTGGACTCACTTTTGTAGATCAGGCCTCGAATTTACAGAGATCCGCCTGCCTCTGCCTCCCTGAGTGCTGGGATTACAGGCGTGCGCCACCACAGCCAGCTAAAGATTGACTGACTGATTTTGTATGAGTGCCCTGTCTGAGAGCCAGAAGAGGCTCTCAGATCCCATTATAGACGATTGTGAGTCACCATGTGGTTGCCGGGAATTGAACTCAGGACCTCAGGCTGCTCTTCCAGTGCTCTTAACCACTGAGCCATCTCTCCAGCCTTCATTTGTATGGGTTGTTTTGTTTTGTTTTGTTTTGTTTTGTGTTTTGAGATAGGCTGTTCTAGAACTCCCTCTGTAGACCAGGCTGGCCAGCAAAACAACAGGTTTCTCTCAGGACTCCAGTTCTTCATCCTTCCATGATCTATGCCTTTACATAAGACTTTATGGAATCTCCCCAGGCTTGGTGGCACACCCCTTTAATCCCAGCACTTAAGAGGCAGAGGCAGGCGAATCTCTATGAGTTCAAGGCTAGCCTGGTCTACAAAGTCAGTTCCAGGATAGCCAGGGCTGTTAGACAGAGAAACCCTCTCTTGAAAACAACAGAGACTTTACAGAATCTCTTTTCCAGCCATGCTGGTCTATATTTGGCCTTGTGACTGGCTCAGCCAATACAGAAGGACAGAAGTGATACAGGCCAGGAATGAGCAACAGTTACCATATATTATGGAGGCTCGCCCTCCCTCCTTCCCTCCCTCCTCTCTCACATAAGGTCTTATGAAGCCCAGCCTGGCCTCAAGGTATGTACAGCTGTATACCTGAGGTTGGCCTTATACTTCTGAGTCTCCTGCCTCTACATCTCAAGTGCTGAGATTATGGGCGTCCACCCCACACCTAGATATGTGCTGCTGGAATGCAACCTAGGGCTTTGTGCACGCTAAGCAAGTACTCTACCAATCCTGTCCTTTACTCTCTCAATGTGTCACTTCTAGGAGACAAAATATGGCCCATACTTCAAGTGTTTTTTAATGCATATAATAGTCTGCTTATAAAAAAAGAAAAAAGAAAAAAAAATAGTCTGCTTATTTATTTGACAGTCCTAGAGACTGAAACTATGACCTTCTGCATTCCAGGCAAATGATCTACCAACTGAGCTACATCCTCAGTCCAAGATCAGTTTTTCTGCTATCTAATTTTCCATTTTACCAATAAACTCCAATAATTCATTACTCTATTGTTGGTATAATGTTCTTGTGGAAAGTATACAATTTACCTTTGTTCATCCAAATGCTGATTTCTCTACCCCACTCTCTGCTTTCTCCTCCCCTATGGAACAGGATGTCCCACCCTGTTCTCTCCATTGCACAGCACTGGCTGGTCGTATATTTGAAAATACAGAGAACAAATGGTGACATATTTACACAAACTTGAGACAGGTGATGCCTAGAACAATGCACTGTCCAGACTGAAACCAGAGAGTGGCAGGACAGGACTTGGAACCATGAGGAGAGATTAACCAGACATAAGATATGACTAAAAACAAGTATAATGTTGAGATTCTGAATGGGAGGAAACTATGCCAGCTTGGAGGTTTAGGATGGAGTAATTATTGCCCAGCGTTGTGCTCTAGGTTAATTAAGTAAACCCTGGTCTCTGTGTGGTGAGTTGGGTATACAGCTGGTGTAAGAATGACCGCTGATTAACTAAACTATAAATCCATAATAAATATTAATACCCACAACACTCTATTGTTGAGATTTAAATGTCTATTGTCTTGCATTGATATACATGCCTTTAATCCCAGCACTCAGGAGACAGAGGCAAGCAGATCTCTGTGAGCCTGGTCTACAGAGCAAGTTCCAGGACAGCCAGGGCTGTTACACAGAGAAACCCTGTCTCGAAAAAAAAACAAAAGCAAGCAAACAAACAAAGAGAATATTTAGTCTTTGTGTGTTAAGTCACTGGGTCTGGAATTTGTTCATCAAAACTAACTATCCAAGCAGGATGTGGTGCATTCCTGTAATCTCAGCATTCAGGAAACTGAGGCAGGAGGAGCAAATCTGAGGACAGCCGAGGCTACAGAGCCAAATCCTGTCTCACAAAGCACAGCGTGCTTGCTTGGCATGCATGGTGGCCTGGATTTAATCCTCAGAACCAGCACATACACCAGGCACGGTGGGACACCGTATCCCATCAAGAGAGACAGAAATTCAAGGTCAAGGTAGGTAAGGGCACGCTGACCTGAGAGCCCACTGCAGTTGTCCTCTGACCTCCATCAACATGCACACAATTTATAAATAAAAGTTTGGTATATGGCAAGTTCAGGGCCAGCCTGGGCTGTGACTCTGTCTCAAAACATGAAATAAGGTGAAGCACCTGGTTAAACGGCTCTGGGAGAAGAGGCTGCACGTCCTTTGGCAAGAAACCAAGGGGTCTTGTCCCACTCTGACCTCTTCGGGTATACGGGTGCTGCAGCTTCTGTGGACAAAAGGTGCCTGTGTTCCCAAGGAGATCTAGCCGGGGCCTGTGAGGGCAGCTTGACAAACAGTGCCAGGTAATTTTTGTTGCTGTGGCTGTTCATTTTCAGGATCTTGCTCCCAGTGTGCTCTGCGGGGCACGGCTACTACAGTCAGCAGTGTTTACTCAAAATAACTTCCTTGCTCCTGCCAACGGACCGCACACGCTAGGAGCACATCTTAGCTAGACACCCCACTTTGTTTCTTTAAATAAACCCTAGACTGATCTTATCTCCACTCAGGAAAGGATTGCAGCCACAGGCTGTCTGTCAACCTATTCCCCTCCCTTTTGTCTGTTGCCAGAATTTTTCTCTAGGGTTGGAAGTAAGCCTGGGGTATGTGTGTTCCTCTTCCCCGAGGAACCCCTGGGTTTCTCAGGCTTGCTTTCAGAACAGTGGGTGATGGC